GTTTGCTCATTAAAAGAAGAAGAAGAAGAAAACTTTCCAAAGGCAATGATCACTTTGCAAAACTCTGACTCTTAAAATTAAAATCCACTAAGAGGGAAGAAAAAATAAGCCAAAAAATTCCACTTGGTTATATGGATGGATGGATATATGGATGAGTGGATGGATGGGCAGAGGAACAGGTGGATGGATGGACAGATGAACAGACAGGTGGATGGATGAATGGATGGATGAATGGATGATAGATGGATGGATGGATGGATGGATGGATGGATGGATGGATGGATGGATGGATGGATGGATGGAGACCAGGGTTCAAGTCAAGCTTCTGACACATATTAGCTATATGACTCTTGGCAAGTCAAATAACCTTTTAGTATCCTAAGGAACTCTTTAATTTATAGAACAGTTATTGATCTATTTTAGTAGATGGATTTTTCTCATTTAGGAATTTTCTGCAAGATGAAATTATAAGTTTAGACCAAATATATATTTTAGCAATATTTATAAAGCGATTACCTGACATAATGGCTGACATGCTAGCTTCAGTCAGGAAAGTCTGGGTTAGAGTTTTGCTTTTGATACCTATTGGTTTTGTGACCCTGAGCAAGACTCAGTCTTTCAGTGTAGTAGGCAATACCCTAAAAATATTAATTGTATGGCAGGAATCAGCTTACACTGATGAAAGAATATCCTCATTGGAAATTCCCTACACTAATGAAATCACAGGTCTGATCTTAAGCATAAATGCATTATACGTGATGCAATTGCATCTTTCAAGCTTTACATTTTGTGTAATTGTATATGTATATGTATATGCATATGCATATGTATATGTGTATGTGTATGTATATGTATATGTATATGTACATGTACATGTACATGTATATGTATATGTATATGTACATGTACATGTATATGTATATACATATATCTTTTGGCAAGACAATTGGGATTAGATGACTTTTCCAGGATCACATAGCTAGTAAGTGTCAAGTGTCTGAGGCCACATTTGAACTCAGGTCTTCCTGACTCCAGGGACAATGCTCTACATACTGTGCCGCCTAGCTGCCCCCAACTTCTACATATTGTTGAGAGCATGAACCAATAAATGAATTTAAAATGAATGACAAATGTTATGGTATGCCAAGGCTTTCAATTTTCTTTCTACTGTCATAAGATCTTCCCTTTCTTCCCTCCCCCTCAAAAAAATAGTAAAAAAAAAAAATGGGAAAATGTTTCATTTAACCATCCCAGCACAGGCTTAAGTTCTAAGTAGACTAGTCAGCTGCTCTAACTAGCAATTAACAAAGAATATTTTGAAAACATGAACATGTGAATGATCTAGTTCTTAAGGATAAAATGAAATTTAAAATTTTCAGGGAATGGTGACTTTTCCATTTCTACAGCTGCTTGGCTTCTAATATAAATTATTAATAGCCATGACATCCCTGCATGTACTATTTATATAAGCTGCCTTAGTCAACCTATTTGATCTGAAACCTGATAGAATTTGAGATTAAATATTTTTGATATACATAAATAAGGGAAATGAGAAACATATTGACTAGCAGAATTCTGACAGTGTGCATACTGATATGATATCTCAATCATGGAATTTCTTTCTCTAAAAGAATTTTTCCTCCACAGTATTTTTTAACCACAAATGAACAGTCATTAAATAATTCATTTCTATCCTTTGGCTTCGTTTCTTTTAGTCTCTCATTCTTTATACTGAAAAGATCAAACAAATTCATCCCAAAAGTTCTCTCAGTTTTACTTGTTTAATGTAAACAAATGTATTTTGCAGTTAAATTTTTAGTAGTTTGCATTACTTAAACTTGCATGCTTTCCAGAGAAGGTAGTAATTATCACTGGTAGAGGAAGTTTCTTTACCAGGGAATTCCTGTATGAAAAGAATCAAAAGTCCAGTCCCTATTTCAGTCCTGATGCTTTCCAAATATCTTAAATTGCTGAAGTACGTAAGTCAAATTATAAAAACAAAATTTGAAGTTAAGAATAGTTCAGGAGTATATTATACATACATATAAAAATAGATACATATTCTAATTGTGTTTGAGCAAGTAAATTCAGTGTAGTACAGTGTCTGTGTGCTGGTTTGGGAGTCAAAAGGCTTTTATCTCTGCCACTTATTGGGTGAGCTTGGGTTAGTAAATCACTTTATCTTTTGGCCTCAGTTTCTTCATCTGAAAAATAAGGTAGTTGAAGCAGATGAATTCCAAGTTCTCTTCCAACTTTAAGTCTAGGACTTTACAATACCAAGATAATTTTTTTTTCCTAGCAAAACTAAAAAGTTTTGATTTGATTAGAAAACAGATTAAGAGATAGAAAATGCTTTGTCCTAAGTTATTTTAGGGAAGTAAAATAAAGAGTGTAGGTAATTATATGCATTTTTCTCAATTCTTAATTATGTTTTTCTCAGTGACACTGTTGCAGAACCAGTATTTAAGTTTAGTCTTCAGAAAACTACCCATTTGACCCAGAGGATTAAATAAAGGAATGCAAAATAGCCAGAAGTCTTCACAACATTTTCTTTCATATAGTGCTCAGATTTGATACTCTTTCTTTCAGAAGCACCTTAGAAAGCTGCATTCCTTTCACACTATCTTGGGCATTCTACAAACGTTATGACTTTATAGTGATAGTCTAGTATTTAGGAACACTGCACGGTAGAAATAGCACACCCTGGTTCATCATTTTCCTATCTGCTGATATTGGCTTTCATACAAAGCTACCTTTTACATGGCCTGTTATTCTCCAAGTGTTACTATTTTTTTTTTCATTAGGACATGAATGAAGAGAATAGGGACTGTGTTATCATTGATCTAGGGAAACTCCTGGATGATTCAGGTTGGAACCTTCCTTTCAACTTATAGTCTTAGCTAGAGAACTGAGAGGCTAAAGAACTTGGCCAATATATCTAGCCAGTATGTTTTAGAGGGGGAAAACATGCCTATAAGCATGTGGAAAATATTGGGAGCCACATTCCCTGGAGTACTAAATAGGGAATTGACTTCAACGTAATAAATGTCCGCATTCTATGTTGTTAGTGTGTTAGTGACATTTCCCATCATGATGTCCATAATGATGATTTTGTGACTCAGATGGGGTAAAACTCCAGGTCAAAAAATGTAAGTTTGACAATTAATAATAGGATTAATTTTTCTCAGTTTGATATTCTGTGTGGAATTCCATTTATGACAAGTATGGTATTGTTCTCTGTTTGAAAATTATGCTATGGAGACAGAAACATCCGTCTGTCTTGTCTACTTTTAAAGTTCACTTGATGATCCATCACTGTGAAAATTACTACTTCCTAATTTTAATAAATACAAAGTACCTAAGAAATAGAAGTTAAAATTACCTTTACACAGTCAACCTTTATTATTTTATATTCTATTAATTATATTTTTGTGATAATTTTTTTAGAAGCACTAGGCTGAAATTTGCTGTTCTGCTCTCAGGAGGTATTTTTAAAATTTGAAAATATTATAGAATTAAGATATTTTGAAAGTTTTATTTGACAGTTTTTGGCTTTATATCACAGTTAAGTCCCCCTCCTCCCTCCCATTCAATCTCTGCATTGAAACATCCCTTGTAACAAAAAAAAATAGTTAAACAAAATAGCTGATAATATGATGTCAACATTCTGCCTCTGTGCTCCCCAAGAACACAGATAACATTTAGATATTTGACTACCATCCAGATTGACAGTCTTTCCCCACTGAGAACATAGCTGTGACCTTTTATTACACGAACAGAAAACCTTTTAAATCTACACTAATGAAGAAGGAGGAAGGGAATTGAATACATTTTAAAAATCCAAGAATTATGCCATTTTATTGCTTGATGGTAAAATTGGAGTATATCCATATTTAAGCAAAAATATAAACTATATACAATTACTTGTATATATATATGGTTACTAACACCTTCCACCTTGACTTCAGGATAAGTACCACTGCGGTCACTTGAAAGGAAAAGAAGGACTAGGTGCCTGAAGTAGGCAGATGATGGTGAAACTAGATGTTCATATAATTGTGAAGTTCTAACCTAATGGAGTCATGCTATTTTACTATATATATGTTTCCACACAACTGATGGTTGTGCTCTCTCTAGGACCAATGAAGCAAAATATTATGCATATGTTAACCTAATTGTTTGTTGATGTACCAGATAGCCTATATCTCTCCTTAAGAGACTTTGGAAATATCAAAAACATTTCTTTAAAAAAATCTTAGTAATTAGTTTTGGGAACAATAGAGTAAATTCTAGCACATCCTGTGAGAGTTAACAAGCACCTTTGTGATATACTAGCTTTTGTTAATGAGGCTAGCAGCCATCAGTTGAATAAATAAATCAGTAGTTTGAGAACAATTTCTTTTTGTGTGTGCACTCGATGGAATTTATTTACAACTGTATACATCTTTAGAAGTACTTGATTCGATGTTTCATCTGTTCAGTGTTCATTAGTTGGGGGAAATTAAGCCTGTGAAATCTCTGCTCACATTACTTATTATGATTTCACATATCTCAATAGGTTGTTTTTTTCTAAAATAACTTATAAACCTAGTCCAAGGACTTTTTAAAGATGGATTGAGTATTTTTGTGTACTTGTATGTCTACTAGCTGTAGTTTCTAATGGCCATTAACTGTATCTCTTGTAATTATCTCTGGTCTTGTCTTAAGTATGATAATGTTAGTATTTCCTGATTGAAATGAATAACATGACTGGGATTTCCTGAGAACACTAATGGGTTCTGTTGGAGAATGACGTATGAACTGTGTTCAGCCCTCAGCACCTCTAACTGCATAGTGGGTATCTAGCACTTTATAGTGGATCTGAAAAGAGAATGATTGAAGAGTCTAGCACAATAATTTCAACCTTTAGTGACAACAAGAAGTTAAATCTGTTTATCCGTGTACAACTCTTAAATTCCTTTTTATTGTAAAAATTCCTTTTCTTTGTTTTGCCTTTCTAGTTCTCCACAAGCAGCCTAGAGAAGTGTGCCTTTGTTTGCTAGAGCTGGGCCGGATTGCAGCCAGGTAGGTCTTGTCCTTAAAAGAATAAAGATAGATTTTTGTATGATTGTTGTTGTCATTGTTGCTAGCATTTATATAGTGCTTTAAGGTTTGCAAAGTACTTTACATGTTATCTCATTTTATCCTTGGGCTGTTATTTACAGATAAGGAAACTGAGGTAGATAGTGATTAAATTACTTGCTCAGGATCATACACCTAGTAAGTATCTGAGGCTAGATTTGAACTCAGATCTTCCTGGGGCCCAGCACTCTATCCATTGCTTTACCTAGCAGCTTGGTAGCCACATGTGCAATAGAGATGCATCACAACAGCTTAAGGTAAGGCAGTCAACATCATATTTTTTACTTGCCTGTCAGATGTGATGGCAAGGTCATGAGCAAGTAGCACAGCTAATCAAATTATCTAGGACATCCCACTTTGTCTCATGACTGCTTTTCACACCCCACCTTTTCATCCATTCTCTTTCCTTGACCCTCTTGTAATTTTTCCAATTCCAGTGAATAAATCTATAGGGCAGCTCAGTAGTATAGCAGCTAGAGCACTGAGCTTAGAGTTAGGAAGACTGTAGTTCAAACTCTCTCTCTGATTATTATTAGCTGTGTGACTCTGGGCAAATCACTTAACCTTTCAGCTTCATTTTCTTCATCTGTAAAGAAGAGATAATCATAGCAACCTACCCCATGAGGTTGTTGTGAGAACTGAAGGAGATAACACGTAAAGTGCTTTGCAGACCTTACAATGCTTCATAGAGGCTAGTTATTATTGATATTACTATTTTTAAGTTTCACTATCTAATTGGTCTAGACTATGGAAAGCAACAGTAATTGCCCTTTTATTCTCCTCTCATTCTTCTCTAACTCCTTCTTTCCTTTCATGCTACTTTTTATCTTCTTCCCTGTCTTTCTACTTGTTTTTTGTTCCCTTCCAGCCCATTCAGAGAGACTAAGAGAGAGGGAGAAGAAAATGGCTCTTTGATTTGTACTCAAAGCCTTTCCAGTATGACAGTACCTGCCAGAACCTTTGTTCTCCTGGCATGGCCACTGAGAACCCAGCATTGTCTTTACCCTGCAATGAGTTTCTATTGTTGTTGCTGTTGTTGAGTTCTTTCAGTCATGCCCCATTCAGTCAGTGACCCCATTTAGCGAACTTTTGGCAAAAATACTAGAGTACCTTGCCAATTTCTTCTCCAGCTCATTTTACAGATGAGGAAATTGAGGCAAACAGGGTGAAGTCACCTGCCCAGGGTCACACAGCTGGTCAATGTGTGAAGCTGGATTTGAACTCAGAGTTTCCTAACTCCCAGCCTGGTGTTCTATCCATCGTATCACCTAGCTGCCCCTAGGATTCATTAGAGGCAGGAAATAGGAGAAAGAGGCTACTTCTTTTAATTCATATATCAACCAGTCCCCTTGGTTTTAAAACTAAACAATGCCATCATGTTTGGGAAGGGAAATTGAAATGCTAATATTCCAACGAATTTGTCTTTTCTTTATTTAAGTATATAATACTTTGATATGTTGTCTCATCACTGAAGGTACTGCCTCTAACAACACAGATTACAACCTATGCCTACCTATCTTGGTGCACTTCTTAGCCTCAAGGGTAGGGCAATCAGAGATTTTACCCAGGGCCTAGAAATATAAATAGTAAGAAAAAATTAACACATGCATTCCTTCAGCAGTTTAGGAACACCTATTTACTAACCAGAACCCTAGCACCTAGTTAGGAAGAATAATTAGTTAAATATGACTAATACGAAAATATGCTTTGCATGATTTCACATGTATAATGTTTATCATATTGCTTTCTTTATCAATGCTTGGGCAGGGCAAGAAGTGAGAATTTCCAACTCAAAATTCTTTTAAAATGAATACTAAAAATAAATACATTGTAAAAAATTTAAAAGAGTAATTAAAGTAAGAAACTATCACATTCAAATACATTGTAATAATACCCAACCATGGGATGTAACTTCCTATATTCTTCTTGTATCATTTTGACATCATGAATTACTAAGTTTGAGGATAAATTTTATGCTTCTTGCCCCAGGAACAAAAATTGCTAGTTACCTCTCTACATGAAATATGGAAAGCATATATTTTTATGCCTTTTTACAATTAAACAGTGCTTTTCATACATTATCTAATTTTATTCTTCTAATAACCCTGGGAAATTGGTGATGACTATATAATTATCTTCATCTTACAGATGAAGAAACTGAGGTTCAGAGTGGCAATTGACTTGCTCAAGTTCATACAATGATAAGTGGTGGAACCAAAACTGGAAAATGCATTTTTTTACTCAAAGTTGGTTTATTTTTCCTGTTTCATGCTGCTTTCTAATGAATATTTTTTTTACAAGGTTAAAAACAGCATGCACACACACACACACACACACACACACACACACTCCAATTTCTCTTATATGGCCATGAAACCTCCTCCCCCTCTCTCAAGTAAACCATGTGTATTTTATTTGAACATTATAGTCTGCTGAACAGTTTCAGTAAGTTTCTGGGCTTCTGTTTAATTTTTTCTAAGAAATGGGAGAAGCCATTCTCAGAAGCCTATTAGAGGGTAATCTTCCAGGCACATTCTTTCCTTAGCTGTTTAATTTGTCTTATGAAGACAGAATAAAAGAAGAGATTACCTAGATATAGTCCATCCTATTTGTACACTGTCAGAATCTATGGGCACCATGATTTTTGTGTGTGTGTGGATTCAGCCTTCTGGCTATTTTTTTGTTTGCCTCAAATCTGTCTAAGAAAGACAGGTGCATCTAGTGGGATATTTAATAGCTCATAATGGAAATCTTAGGAAAAGTAGAATTCAGAATTGGTCTAGACTATGGAAAGTAATAGAAATAAAGAGGCAGAAAATTTTCAAGTGGGGGAAAAGGCCAATTTGATGACTAAGTTGACTTGCAGGTGTAAGCCTCCATCCAAGCAGTGAGTAATAATTTACAACCTGTTGGCATCCTCAGACAGAAAGGCAATAAATGAATTGTATAGACTTCATTAGATAGGCTGTGCCCTTGCATGCCAATGCTGGCACAAAGCGAGTATTTGAGGTTTTGGATTGCCTTTTATTCATTCACATACTGTGTGCATGGGCTTGGTTAAATCTCCGTTTATCCAGATTATGTATTATAAACTCCAAGGATCAGAATTTTCCACAGATTACTTTATTGCTGGCTATCATACTTAGACTTTGAGTTATTTATATTTTTATGGACAATGCATCTGCATTTTGTAAAAAAAAATCAGATTCTGATTCTGCTATTTTCTCATTTTTTTAATAAAAGATTTTTATAGTTTATTTTTGGTGACAAATATATTCCTTTAAAAGTAACAAGTCACATTTAAAAAATGTAATTATGGTATTCCTTTGACTTAATTTATATTTTCAGATGTTAATTTTTTTTGTTGATTGTCAATTATCAGTGAACTCTATCACTTTAGATTGCTGTAGTCTCTCGATCAAATATTTAATGATCAAGAAAGAAATATTTAAATGAAGTAAAATTTTAAAACCGGAAGAGCCTAAGCAACCATCTGGCCTGAAACCCTCCCCATCCTCCCTCTCCTCCCCCCCAGTCCTTTGAAGAGGAAAAAACACTTAACTAAGATAAAGTTTGTGTGAGAACGGCACTAGGTCTCAGGTTTTCTGTGCTTTCAGTTCAGTATGTTTTTCATTATGCTCTTCTTCTGGGGAGTTCTATTTAACGTAACTCTGTAAATGATGTCACATATCCTCATGGCTTAACTTTGTTTTTGTTTAAGTGGGTTTTTTTTTTCATTAAAAGAGAGGATTCAAAGAGGGTGGGTTAAGAGTTAATAGGTGTGAGGGGCAGCCAGGTGGCACAGTGGATAGAGCACCAGCCCTGGAGCCAGGAGGACCTGAGTTCAAATCTGGCCTCTGAAACATAACACTTACTAGTTGTGTGACCCTGGGGAAGTCACTTAACCCTATTGCCTAGCTAAAAAAAATTAAATACATAAATAAATAAGAATTAATGGCTGTGAAATAAAAATTTTGAAAAGAGAAAATGTGGTAGAACCTTGTATAAAGGGGAAAATTACCTTATAACATGAATAATCAACTTGTAGTTTTGAAATTAGGGGATTTTACAAAAAGGGATTTAATTTAGAAAAAAAGCATAACATAGCAGCATGAATATGAATGCAGATGTTCTTAACCTGGGGTTCACAGAATTCATGGGTAGATTTCAGGGGATCCATTAATTTGTGTGGGAAAATGATATCTGTATTAAAATATAATTGATTTCCTTTGCAATTCTATGCATTTAAAAATATTATTCTGAGAAAGGGTTTGTGGGCTTCACCAGACTGCCAGTAGGGTCTATGACACAAAAAACATTAAGAATTCCCATATTAATGCTTAAAATTATCTGAGAAAGACATATTTGTATTATTTTATTTTTCATTTTGGGAGTGATTTTCTTCTGTGGTTACACAATTATATTATCTACCCCCAAATAAAAGAGATAATGGTTCCAAATTTGAATGTGTTATACTTTATAGATGTATACATAATAATTTTTAATATTTTAAAATAAAAACAATTAGCAAATTCAGACTAGAATTCTATTGCCCACATTGTCAAAGTTTAAGAGTAAGACTATAGTATTCAGAAATTTTATTGTCACTGAGCTGATGAAAATGTGTGATTTTCACATAACTTGTATCTCATAAATGTGCTCATTTCAGTTAATACTTTCCTACACCTAATATCAAGACATAAGCTCTTATTAAAGTTAACCCGTCATGGTCCCACATAATAAATAGCATCTGATTTGTGCATTTGCTAAATGTTTTTTCTTAGCTGCAACCATTAGCCTGTGTTCTAATACATGTGTAAAATTTAAGTATATAAATTATATGTACATACAAAACTTATTTATGCATACATTTGATATATGTAGCATTTTTATAATACTTTTTGTATTTCATTTAATCCAAGAATTCACTATTAATTTTAGAAGTGATTACTGAATTTTATTCAAAAATGTTTCTAATCTAACTTGAGAAATTACTTTATATGGGTTGTATGTGCTTATGGAAATTTATAAAATATTGTCCATCATATATATAGATACATCGGTTTATACATATGTATGTTTGTTTACATATATATCTTCAATTAGCATATATGTGCTCATGTACACATACAAATCTGTATGTTCACATATGTGTGTATATACACATGTGAATATATGTGCATGTGTAGTATATTGATCTGTTGTCTAAGCTACAATCCTATGTCTACCACTACCTAATGGACATTTCCATTTGGATATCCCAGTTTCAACTGGACTTAGCATGTCCCAAACTAAGCTTACAAAGAACTCATTATATTCCCCCCATAAATAGTTTCCTCCTTCTCTGACCTTTCTCTGTTAATGATATCACTCTTCCTATGATCTCCCAGACTCAGCATCTTGGAATCAGGCTTACTTTCTCATTACTTAAATCATTGTGTTTGATCAGTCACAAAATCCTTTCAAGCTCCTTGGTGATTTCATTTTTATCTTTCTATTTCTAATCCGTAGTATATAGTAAATTATAAATAAATGTTCATTGAATTGAATTAAATAGAAAACCATTATGGATTCTAGAGAAGGGACAGTAGGAGTATGAAGGTGTATGAAACTCAGACTGTTGGGATGGATTGGAAGAGGGAGACATTGAAATTCTCAAAGTCATCATTTCTGCATGAACTTAATGAATAGAGATCACTTATCCTTTTTCTCCAGTACGATGTATACCATAAGGTCTATGGACCCTGGGTAATTCACTAAAACCCTTAGTGACTCAAGCTATACATTGAAGGGGAGTTGTAGATCTAAACCAGTAGAGAGAGTTTTCACCCTGGGATTTCCCCATACTGATGAAATTATAGTTTGGGACCAAATTTTTAATTTTAATATTGTTCCTATGTACTATGTATATTGCTTAATAAGAGTGATGTTTTGATGATTTCTTGTCTTTCTTTTAAACTAAGGTATGGTGTGGAACCTCCAGGTTTAATAAAGCTGGAAAAAGAGATTGAACAGGAAGAAACCCTTTCAGTGCCTTCTCCTTCCCCTTCTCCCTCCTCAACAAAGTCTTCTGGGAAAAAGAGCACGGGAAACTTATTGGATGATGCTGTAAGTAAAGCCAGTCCAACTTCCAACCAAGTGCCTAGTGATCCTGGCAACTATAGACTTAGTCACAGTTGATATTTATCGCTGTGTGATCCTGGATTAGTCATATAGCCTCTTTGTGCCTAAGTTTCCTTGTCTATAAAATATGAGAGTGGGTCTCAATGGTCTCTAAGAGCCCTTATAGCTCTAAGCCAATGACTCTAATATCTATGGTTATATATTTTCAAGGCACCTTAAATACGTGATACTACTTGACTGTTATTACAACCCCATGAGATATGTATGAGAATTATTCCTACCATTTTACAGATAAGGATACTCAAGTCCAGAAATGTTAAGTGACTTTACCCATAGCCCCACAGTTAATGAAAGATTAGAAGTAGAGTTTGAATGAATGTCTCTCCTGACTCCAAGACCAATGCCTCTTTGACTATGCCAGACTGAACTCAATTATATACATATATACATACACATATACACACATATATGCATACATACATATTACACCTATCTATATAGATAGATATGTATGTCTCACTCCATATAAATGAATGTACCTAGCACTTCTACCTATGATCCAAATTTCATTGAAATCTGGGGAAATTAATAAAGAGATTCCTTTGTAGTCAGCTCTGTGGATTCCCATTTTGTTTAACAATTGTAGACCAGACCATAAATTTAAATTAGACTACCAACTGAACATCCTTTAATAGCATTTTTAAAGTGTGTGTGTATATACACACACACACACACACACACATACATATGTATATATATATATATATATATATATATATATATACACACAATATATGTCTATTTGAATATATGGGTATACACAGATAGACATACAACTTTATATGCCTTGTACCTTGTAAACTTTTAGATCTTGTCTGTATTGGTTATTTCTGGCAGCAACTCTCTGAGGAAATCATGATTCCCTTTCCCATGGAGAGAGAAACCTAATCCATGAAATCAAAGAAAGTTAAGAGTGAAGAGAAAATAAAAATGCAGTGTTATCCCTGAATTACACAATACTTTGATCCCCATTATAGACTAAATTTAAGAGAATGTCTATAATTTATCTAGCTGACAAAAACTGCAAATTAGGTTATTTAGGGATATTTTGAAGTATATACCCTTTATTCCTGTTTAAACTTTATATTCTTCATTGTTCTTTCCCATATTTATTTTGGATGCCTCCTCCACTAAGCTTGTGTTCTGCTGTCTCATTGTTCATGGATATGAACACGGATTCTTAAAAGTTATACTACAAGCACACAAGCTTCGGAAACCCCTTCCAGGTTGAAAAGTCTTCGAGTATATGTATAAGGAAGGATCCTGTGTTTGTCATTCGTGGGCCAGCCCAGGCAAATTTGTAAAGGTTCCATAATCTACTGCCTGACACTTAATAAGTGCTTAATAAATACTTGTTGAAATAATAACAATGATAATAATAGCCAACATTCTGTAACACTATAAGCCTTGTAAAGTACTTCACAATATTATCTCATTTGATCCTCACAACAACTCTGGAAGGTAGGAGCTATTGTTATCATCCCCATTTTATAGATGAAGAAACTGAGGCAGACAAAGGTTAAATGCCTTGTCCAGGGTTACACAGCTACTAGTGAAGTTTCTGAGGTCAGATTTGAACTCAGATTTTCTGGACTTAATTTTCATTTGAATGGGCATGAAATGTAGTTGCTTCTAAAGATTGTAGGGAATGATAATTCCAAGAGCTCTGAATTAAATATGCTTTATAATTGCAGATTTACTTTAATCTCATGGGGGAGAGTTATTGGCCACTTGATGGCAGCTATGATATTGCTTGTACAGGGAAGAAGAATCTGTACAGATATGTTGGCCACAGCCAGCTCCATATGGATGACAAATCCTAAATACAGTCTAGTTGGTTCTAGTATCATGTCAGTGAGGCTGTCACAGAGAACAGTAATACAGCCCAGACTGTGCCCTAGCCAACCATCTTTGTGTACCCTGACTCAGCATAAGAAAAAGCAAAACATCCCAATGAGTAGGACAGTCCACATGATGCATTAGCTGCTTTAGGAGAGTGTCATGTCTTCATCTTTTGACATCTTTGAGTGAAGACTGGTAGTTATTGTTGAGGGTATTGTAGAAGGGACTATTGCTCAGTCACATATTGGATTAGGTGACCTCTGAACTCTAAGCTTTTGTGATTCAATGATCCTAAAAATGTACACAACTGATTAACAGAGGTAATGAATGAGAGAGGGTGAATGACTCCAAATTCAGCTCTACTGATTGGGGGTAGGAGGTGGAAATCAAAATGAATGGTCTTCCAACTGTAAGGCAGTAACATCTTCATAGAAAGGGCAGAATGCCTCTTTTTCCTCTTCTTAATTATAAGATTGTGGCTGGATAAAGTACAGTGTAGGATACCAGTTATTTTAGCTGGTTTTGATAAATCAAACACCTAAGTCTGCCCTCTCCACCCCCCAAATTACAAAGATCAGAGATGTATACTAATCAATAATGTATGGCTCTGCTTTGCTTTGGGGAATATGAAAATATGTTTAATCAGGACTTCTTGGGGATACTGGGGAAGGCAGAAGAGAATTAAAAGGATAATACTCAAGGGCTTCAAAAATTATATAATTTCATTAACATAAATTACAACTACTCCATATCTTAGAAGATGGACCATCTATCTATCTACACACACATATATTTTTACACATATATGTATATATACACATATACATATATACATACACATATACATATATGTGTGTGTATCTAGAAAGATAGATATAGATGAATAGATGGATATATACACACACATATACATATCTCTCCTTGTAAAAAACTTAGTAATGAACCTCTCCAATATTATTCAGGCTGCCCCTTAGTCAGAACCAAAACAAAAAACTAGCATTTATGTAGCATTTTAAATTTTACAAAGTGTTTTACATTTGTTATCTGATTGATGCTCACTACAACGCTGAGAAGGATGTTTATGCGAGGGGATGGTGAGGCAAGTTGAGAGGGAGCCAAGGAAGGGGAACATCTCAGAAAAAGCATTATTACTAAAAGCCAGAGGTAGAAAGGACTTCAGAGGCTCCACAGCCAACCTCGTACCTGAAAAAGCCCTCGTTTAACATAATCAAGAATGGATCATTCAGCCTTTGCTTTAAGACTCCCGATGAGGAGGAACCCACCACCTCCTAAAGTGGCCCAGTATGCTTTGTGATAGCTCAAATTGTTGAGAAGTTTTCCAGACATCAATCCTAAATTTGTTTCTTTGAAACTTTTACCCTCTGGTCTCACTTCTGCCTTCTGGGTCAAGAAAAATAAGTCTAATTAATCTTACATTGACAGTCTTCCTTTAAGAGAATTCTCACGTCTGTGCCTCTCACCACTGTCCACAAGTCTTCTCTTTTCCAGAAGAAACGTGTCATTAATTCCTCTAACAGTTCCCTATATGGCAGGAATTCAAGGCCCTTCACTCACCTGGTCACCTCCTTCTATTCGCCTTTCAGCTTATCAGTGTTCTTCCTAAAATGTGGCACCCAGAACCAAACTCAATATTCCAGATGGGGCCTGGCCATGGCAGAGTATGGCAGCATGTTTGGCTTTGTATCCTTGGGTGCTAGGCCTCTCTCCATGCAGTCCAGGATCACCTTAGCTTTCTTGGCTGCTGTCTCACTCCAAAGAAGGGGAATGAAACCAAAGACATCTAAAAAAGGCTGTGAAATCCACTCAGTTGACTCAACCCTGTATAATATTCCAGATTCTTGTGTTTTTTTAAAAAGATGAATTTCTAAAATCAAAATCAGCTAAAATAATTGTCATTTTAATCAAAGTACACCAGTAGATGTTTCTGTGTTGTTCATCACTAAGGAGAAAACAGCATGCTGCCCTGGCCTAAAACGCTTGTGCTCAGCCAATGTCACGGCACTCTGGTTGGTTGGTTGTTGTTGGAGAGGACCAAAATGACATCACTATATTGGGGTTGCAGTAGCTCAAAAGACATATGAGATGTACAAATTTAGAGACACCTCTGCTCCAGATGTTCATATGAACTACTTGTGCCTGACCTATGGTAGAGCATTCTGAGCTTGTACTGGTCTGATGAGACACAGACGCACTGTTTGACCCTGACATAGTGATGCCATTTTGGTCCTCTTCAAGAATTGACCCCAACCACAATGTGCAGTGTACCTGTGGCTAAAGAGACCAATACAAGTAAGCTAGGAAGGCTCTACCACAGGTCGGATACAAATAGTCCATATGAACATTTTGAGTAGAGATGTATTTAAATTCTTGCATCTCACATTTCTTTTAAGCTATTGCAATTCTGCTTTGGCGCTCTAAATGTTTCCTGAATGAAATGATTCCTTTCAGAGGCAGTGGTGACAGGTTAAAAAAAAAAAGGAAGTCACATAAAAGTTACCAACACTTTCAGTGGAAGTTACAGATGTCTCTTAGGAAAGGGAAACCAATCCTTTTGTGATGGCTATTCTACAAGATACCACTTGGGAATGGAAATTCATGTGCCATTTTTGATTAAAATTAGAATGCAAAATGGCCATAGATTGTCTGTAAGACATTGTGTTTGCTGAATGAGATGTATTGGGTTTTTTTGACTTTGGTAAAATGAGCTGTGTTATTTACCAAAGAACTAGATCTATGTTGAGATATCATGTTGAAGCAAGTGTTCTGTTTTTTAACAAATAGCATCCTGCCAGTATTAAAACAGCCAATTCTCCTCATATTTCCTCCTTGGGCCTAGTAAGACAATAATGAGATAAAAGAAATAGATGGTTCTTTTAGGTGGCCAGCTCAAAACACCTTCTTTAGTCTGGATATCAGTAGGGAAGGACAACAGGCATCTATCTAAGTGAATTTATTCATTAGCCCTGAAAATCATTATTCAATCTTGCTGATATAGAGAGACAAGGGTGAATTCAAACCTTTACCTTCTCTTCAGCCAGTCAATGTGATGAATAAAGTTCTAAGAAAAGATTAGTATTCTTCCTCTACCTAAGCAACTTCCTCTGGGGTAATGATAGATGGTAAAATTCAGGGTAATTTGGCAAGCCTAGACATCCCATTTTATCAGAGACCTGGCCTAGATGTTTGGCCAGTAGCCAGAAGGACACCTGCCAGAGCCGATGGTAGCAACCTAGCTCATCCCAAGGTAATGTAAGAAGCACAAATTTCATTTATCAGGTATTTCCTTCCTAACAGCATATTTCCTTTGCCCACAGAACACTCTTGTTCATAGAATCACAAGATACCAAAGTTGGAAGTGACCTCAAAGGTCATCCAGTCCAATCCGTACCTGAACAGGAATCCTTTCTACAACATTCCTGACAAGTGGTCAGCCAGCTTCCACGTGAAGAACTCACGATGGGCAACTTATTACCTCCTGGGGCAGCTCTTTGCACTTTTTGGACAGCTCTAAGTGCTTTCTTATATGAAGCTGAAACATCCTCTCCATCCCTCCCTCCCTCACTCCTAGTTATGGCAAGCAGACTCCATCTTTAATCATTCTTCCATGCAACAAACCTTCACATATTTTGAAAAGAGCTATTATGTTTCCCATCTCCATACCCCTCCTCAGTCTTCTCTTCTCCAGACTAAACATCCCAAGTCCTTTTAATTGTTAATGATGGTATATAGTTTCTAGCCTCCTCACTATCCTGGTTACCATCCTCTAGATATGCACCAGCTTCCAAAAATGTACCCAAAACTGAACATAGAATTCCAGATATGGATCAATCACAGTAGTATAGCAGTACTCTACTGGAAGAGGCTTCAGTTATCTTCCAATAACCTGACTCCTATATCCTAATTTTACCTATGAAAAGACTGAGGCCCAGGGGTCAAAATGGTTTTCTTAAGATACTGTAGGTCATTAAGTAGTGGAGCCAAGATTCAAATCCAGTTCTTAAGACCCATGTTCTTGACTGCCATGTTACATTACTGACTCACAATGAGCTTGTTGACTATTACAATCCAAAACTCTTTTTCAAATAAATAGTTGTTCAGCCATTCCTCGTCCCAGCCCCCCAGCCTCTTTCATCCTATACTTCTGTTGTATAGGGACTTCACTTAACCTTATCTGATTTCTTCTAATTGGATTTGGCCTAAATAATCTGGCAAGGTTTTTGGGATCCTAATTCTTCCACATAACATGATAGTCAACTCTTCATCTGCTCTCTTTCACCCACAAAAGCATCTCTCCCTCAGAAGAAGAGAGCTTCTAGTATTAAGAAACTATCTACCTAAAGGCTTGTGTGATAGGACTTCCCAAAGACTTTTTTTTCCTGAAGGAAATGTTTTCTGCACTTGATGATGTTAGACTGTGGAGATGTCTGTTTATTCTCTAGGAGCACTGCTCCGTCTGGAGATTGATAGCATTTTTAATCATGAGTCCTTTGGTATTGTCTTGGATCATTGTATTGCTGATAATAGCTAAGTCATTCACAGTTCTTCATCATACAATATTGCAGTTATTGTTTACATCGTTCTCCTGTTTCTACTCAATTCACTTGGCATTATTTCATATATATCTTTCAAGGTTTTTCTGAGGTCATCCTACTTGGTATTTCTTATAGTACAATAATATTCCATCACAATCATATAGCGCAACTTGTTCGGTCATTCCCCAGTTGATGGACATCCCCTTGATTTCTGATTCTTAGCCACCACAAAAAGAGCTCTTATAAATATCTTTGTACAAGTAGGTCTTTTTCCTCTTTTTTTAATCTTATTGGGATATAGACCTAGCAGGAGTATTGCTGGATCAAAGGATATGCGATTTTATAGTGGGATCACTGCTGTGAAGGAAAATTTTCTTCTTCATGTCCACATTCTTCATGTCCTCTTATTTCCCATCATATTTTCAGAATCCTAATTTATGTAAAGCTGTCATGCTTCACATCTCAGTCATCCTTTGATGAACCAGTTTTCTCTTGGTCATGATGTTTATGGAGTTCTGCTCTTACTAATTGTAGTACCAAAGAAACAGTTTTATGATTAACTTGGGCTATGGGGTGGAGGATTCAGGAACAAATGGTGGAGGTGCAACCCCAGGTTTGCACTACCATCCTCCTTGTTTCAAGAAAGTATCCAATCTTCCTTCACAGCCCATATTTGTGAAGACAGTGGATCTTCCCCCTTCCCTTCCTTCCACCACAACTTCCACCTCTCATTTATGCACCCATTTATTTTGATTCCTATTGTTCTGCAATTGTCGGGGCTCCTTGTGGCAGGGGTGGGGGAGGCTGTGGGGCTGTGGATGGAGAACAGTGTTGTGTTTAACCAATTTTCACTACAGTGTTAGGGATTCCATGTGTTATTCCTCTTTGAACTGTTTTATTTTAATAGAGGCCTTCATGAAAGGAGAAATTTATTAACCAAAGGAATAAATATTTAATGGCAGAATTTCAGACATTTGGTCACCTAGTTGAATCAAAACTTTTGTTCAGGGGATCAGGCCATACTTCTGTAGAACTCAGCCAGTTACCTTTTGGATCAGGTAGTGCTTTGTGTTAGAACTGCCCCCTTGTAACTTGTGCTTTCTCTTCAGATAATGTTCAGGGAAGAAGTTATGGGACAGCATGGTACACTTCCAAATCCAACATGTTTTGCATCTCATTTATGAAGTTATAGGAGATCCTACTTTCCTTTAATGCTCATTATTATTCAAACACCACAAATATACATCATTTAATATGTGTATTGGCTTTGGCTTAAACTTAAAATCTAGTTTGAGGACATAATAGTTAAGGTCATGTGTTATGTAAATAGTTGTATAGAATGTATGCCTCAATTGCATAAAATACATAGGTAATAAGTGATATATTCACAAATAAGGTTGGGGAGCTTGGATAGGTGGTTTTGGGATCCTTGGAGGAAATCCTAAAATTCAAAGTAAAATATTTGTGTTTTCTAATTTTGAAACAATAATTGGTTTTAACCATCTCTTATTTTGGAAACACTCAAATTTACTTTTGAGGAACAACAGAAAGAGAAGTGGTAAAGATATACATCTCATCATGACATTAAAATTTTCAACACATTTGACTTAATCACCTAACAAACTTTACCTGGAAGGGTGAATGAAATTTGTAATTCTCAGACTACTGTATTTCATGATCATTATCATCAATCTTCATCATCATTGTCCTTTTTAATTTTGCATCATTGTCATTCAACACACTTCAATTACATGTGTATTATATACACAACACTGTGCAAGGTACTGGGAAGATAAATAAATATGGCCTTATAATTGCAGAACTATGATGGGTATAGAAAAACATAACTCTAGAAGGCGAGCATAGGAAAAGTATCAAGGGAAGAAAATATGAGTTCAGGGGATAGGAATGATCATAGCACTGATGTGTTTTCAGGATAATTTAGTGGAACAATAAGGCGAACTGGATTTTGAAAGGTAAGATAAGCAGAGTAAAGGGTAGGAGGGCATCTCTAGAATAGAGAAATGGCATGGGCAAAGGCCCAGAAAAAGGAATATGTATGGCATTTTGGGGAAACAGTAAATAAATTTTTTGACTTCATCAGAGATTTCACATAGGAAAGACATTTTGTTGAATTGAAATAGCAGGATTTTAGACTGCAGAGGTGGGGAGGTGCAAAATGGCAGAGATCCTGGAATATTGAGACTTTGAATGGTATTCTTGTGGTCAGTGGGGAGCCATTGTGGTTTTTGGATCAGGGGGAATGGCATGCTGAAAGTGATGTTTTAATAAGATGTATCTGGCATCAGTGTCTAGAGTTGGGCTGGGGAAGACTGGAATCAAGGGGGACCAGTGAAGGTTATATTGCAATGTTTCAGAAATCATGTGATAAGGGTCTGATATTATAGCGTTGGCAGTGGAAGTGGAAAAGGAAGGATGGATGTAAAATAAATTATACTGGAAGAATGCCTTTGGACAAAATTGTATAAATGTTGCAGTTCTGAAGCATATCTATGCCTTTGTAACAATACCAATAAATACCTTCAGGAAATATCATTAGACTCTAACATTTGTATATCTAGAGCTAAATCTGTTCTATATTTACACAAATTCTGGTACAGAGTCACTATTATTGGTCAAATGGATGATTGCACTTAAACTTGAAAGTACTATATACATGTTAGCTATTATTAGTAACACAATGAATTATCTAAATCCCAGATGCTCTTCAGGAGAGAAAATAATGACCTGCTTTTATGTTACAGGTGAAACATATTTCAGAAGATCCTCCTTGCAAATGCCCAAACAAGTTCTGTGTGGAGCGTCTCTCACAAGGAAGATACAGAGTTGGAGAAAAGATCCTTTTCATTAGGGTAAAAAAAAAGTTTTAATTTTCACTCAGTTGTTCATTTTACATGGGAATATTAAGTACTTGGGAAAGGAGGAAGGGAGTAGGATACCAATTGTTTTCTTTTACCTTCTCCTTTTTAGCATATACATATACATATTACAGCAGAGTGTAAACAAAAAACAGAATTAAAACTAAAGCCAAGAGATCTCCTTTGATAGTTTTTAAATGGAATATAAAATGAAATCAGACCTCTCTTTAAAAAAGTAGTCACGGAATTCTTCCTGTTTCTTACACATCAAGCTCTCAGTTCCTAGTTTGTTTGATTTTCGGTTTAATTTTTTTTTCTAAATTACCTGAGCAAATGTCCAACAGTTTGGGAGTATATAATGCAGATAGTGATAAAATGAAAGGAATTTTCATTTCTTAGACAAGTTCCTAGATCAGAAGCTTTCAGCATTGATTGTGTAATTAATGTTTTAGACCTGCCATTGAAATAAGTTGGTGGTCTCAGTCCGTTTCTGAAATTGACATTTTGCCTAGAAGCCTTGGCAAAAAAGACTCGTCATTCCAGGAGGTATTCTAAATGAATATGTTTCCTATTTTAAGAAGTGGTTCATTAAATTCAGGTTTCCAAATCTCCTCTTCTTTTCTTCTGTGATTGGTTTTGCAGATAATCATGACTTTGGTTTCTTAAAATAGTCTTTCACCTTTTTCTAAGACTGGATTCATTTTTTTTAAAGAAAGGAAATTATATTTCACTTTTATTTCTAGAACATCTGTAGTTAATATAATGGATATTTTATGTTGTTGCTTAAACTCCAGGCAATGGCAAAAAAAAAAAGTGAGTTCACAGTATTTTTTTTTCTTTTATGCTTCTTTGGTCATCTTAAAATAGTCAACATGTTATTATGAATTGAATGATGAAATCACATAATTTCAGAGTTGGAAGAGACATCAGTGGTCTTTTACCTGAGAAAGAATATCCTTTACAGCAAACCTGACAAATGATCAATCAGTCTTTGCATGGAGACTTCCAGGGTTAGGGAAAACACTACCTCTTGTGATGGGATTTTAATTCCATTTGAGGATCAGAATGATTTCAAAGAAATTTTTCTTTTTGTCTAGCCAACTTGCCTCTTTGGTACTTTCATACATTATCCCTCATTACCCTTTCAGCCAAGTAGAACAAATCTTTTTATCTTCATGGCAGCCTTTAAATATTTAAAAACATCTCCTCAATTCTTGTGATTCAAACTCAAGACCCTTCACCATTCTGGTTGCCCTTTTCTGGACAATGTCTAATTTATCATTGTGTTTCTTATAATGTAGTGCTGAGAACCATGAACTGAGAACTCCTACTCTAGATGTGGCCAGACTAGAGATTATCATTTCCTTATTCCTAAATGTCCTTTCTCCTTTCTCATCTTAGCTTTCTGGGTCATCATATTATACTCTTGTCTCGTGTTGAGTTGGTAGCCTACTCTAACATCTCTGGATCTTTTTTCAAATGACCTGTTTGTCTAGGCATGCTTCCCCCATCTTATATTTGTGAAGTTGTCCTTTTGAACTTAAGCAAGACTCTGTATTTATCTCCTTTATATCCCATATTATTAGACTTGGCTAACATTCTAGGCAAAGAGCTTATTTAATCCTGACTCTGGAATCTACTGTTAGGTATCTACCTCAACATTGTGTCATGTGATCATGTAACAAACATTCCATCTATAATTTTAGTAAAGAAATTGATTAAATTATTAAAAAGCATAGCACAAAGAACAAATCCCTGGGGTTATATACTAGAGACTTATTCTAAGTGGACATCTCTTCCATTGTATTTTTTCATTTGGGCCATTCAACCACTCCATTATATTGTTATCTAGACCATATATCTCCTTCATTTCCACAAGAATAGCACTAGTGACTTTGTCACATTCTTTGCTAAAACCTAGGTAAACTTATGTTAGTAGCATTCCTAGAAACTGCTAGCTCAATAACTCTGTCTCAAAAAAAAGGGGAGGAGGGAACTAACATCTTCTTGGCATGCCCTATCCTTCGTGAAGTTATGCTGGGTTTTTGTGATCCCCACTTTCCTTTCTAGATGTTTCATAATCATTCCTTTAATAGTATGTTCTAAATTTTGCCAAGCATCAAAGTTAGGTTTACTGGACTATAATTTTCATACTCCATTCTCTTCCATTAAAAAAAAAAATGACGTTTTCCTTTCTCCAGTCCTATGGTACCTCTCCAGTTTTCCACGATCTGTTAAATATCACTGAGTGACTGACTCAGCACTCATATATACCAATTTCTTCAGGACCTGAGAATATCATTCATATGGATCAATTGACTTGAGCACTTCACAGCTAGATTTTCTCTTTCTAACTATTCTCTTCTTTTCAGTTTTGTTATTTGGGCCTCAACTTCCTATTAGCCATTTTGATTCTGTCTTTCATGGTTCAAAGGTCATTCTCCTTGGTAGGAGAAGAAGAAGCAAAATAATAGTTGAGTAGCTGTCTTCTCTTTCTGCCATTAATTATCATTGTTAAATGCATTCTGAGTAATAGTCCTCTTTCTTTGAGCATCCTTTTTCAAAAATATGACTTTTAAAAATGAAGTTTTATTATCCTTACCTTTCTTTACCAGCCTCTCAGGTCATCTTCAATTTTAGCAATCCTAATAGTTTTCATACAGGACCATGCTATTCCTTCATATTTATTTTCCATTTCCTATCCTTGCTTCCATCTTTACATATTTCAAAAATCAAAGCTTTAAAAAGACTTAAAAATCAATTTCCCTTTATATACATATACATTGGTCTCTTTAAATATTTTACCCTCCTTGTCTTCATCAGAATTTTTCCTCAGTGTTGTCATCAGAATTTCTACTTTGAAAGGTTCCCATCCCTTCTTGGATGACTTTCCCTGTATAATTTTGTATATGGCATCCTATCTATCCTTTCTCTGAACCCAAAAATCTTGGATACATATGAACTATGCCTGGCTTCCTGTCCTTTTCCATCACAATCTATAAGATGTAATGGTTGTTTCTACTTAATTTCCATCATTTTTGTCCTAATAACCATTTGTCTCTTATTGGTTAAAATCATATTCAGAATAGGAAGTCACCCTCAATTACTTCACATTTTTCAAGATGAAATTACTGTTAAGCTACATCAAGATATTTATTAGCAACACTTAACGATCTTCAGACTCTTGACCAGGATTTAGTACTTGTGTTTTTTAGGTTCCTATTGGAACTATTATTTGTGCCCATTTGAATCACCAAGTGAGTAATAATTGTCTGATTGAAAGAGTTCTATCAAGTCTTGGATGCAGCCTCCAGGAAGTTTTGAGACCTTCCTGTTTTTATTAGGTCAACAGAGTGCTGCTTCATTATCTCTTAGCGTGGGATCACCAACCACCACTATTTATCTCTCTTTTTTCCAAACTGTGCTGGATAAGCTGGTACCCCAAAGCACCTGAGGATCTATGTCGTCATTTTTCAGAGATCAAGCAGATGCTTCTTTCTAAAGTATCCAGCTCTTTCTTCTTCAGGAAGAAACTTTTGTTGGTTTCCTGGCTCCAAGCATTCAATAAACCTCCTTCCCTTTCTTTTCTGGGTGACATTCTTCCATCTTCCAACCTTCTTATCCAAGTAGATTTCCCCTCCACCTCTTCAGATCCCTTTTCTTCTTTTATTTCACATTAGAGCCCTCTTTCACTGTTTTGTTTTGTTCTGAAGGGATACTCGATTCCACTTGATATTCTTAAGAGAAAAGCTATCTCTCTAGCTCATTTACCTTCTCTTCCAAGAAGCAGATTAACCTGCTCTTTAAGCATAGATAGCAGCATTTTAGCCTTGGCAGAGATAAAACTATACAATGAACTATGAAGTTCATTGTAAAGATCTACCTTCTCTCCATCCTTGTGAATAGTGAGACCCTAAGACCTTGCAGTTCTTTTTAGTAGCTACCCTGAAGGGCTATTGTGGCAAATTGTTTATGGGTTTCTTCAACTCCAGAAATGTCATTTTCCTTCTTACCTCCTTAGAACCTTAGGGAAAAGCCATACCCTTTCTCTTTTCTTACAAAGATTTTATGTACCTTTCTTTAACTGTCTTACCAACTATTTTATTTTCTTCCTTTAGTCATTCATCTTTTCTTTCCTTCTACAACTTTTCAAACCCTTCTGTTTCTCTTCCTTCAGACTGGAATTCTTCTGTTCCTTCTCAGGCCCTTCATCTTCTTTTCTTGTCTTTTTTTCAGCTCAAATTTTCTTTCTTCCCTTTCAGATTAAATGTTTCTCCATGTCTTCTAAATGCACTGTTCCTAATCCCCATCTCATTGAGCTCTGGTCCTTCCCCTCCTCCTTGTCTCCCTCCTTTGACATCTCAGTCCTCTCGTGTTCAGATTTGGTCTCCTTCAGAGTTCCAGAGCCTTCCAAATCACCTTCACATTTTTTTCTTCAGCTCAAGTTCTTCTGTGCCTTCTCTCACATGACTTCTTCTCCCAGAAGGCAACAATCAATCACAATGTGAGTTGTCATGATTCAAGTTTTAAGATCATTATGTTCTATGTTGTTATTATTGTTTGGTCATTTTAATCTTGTCCAATTCTTCATGACCCCACTTGGAGTTTTCTTGGCAAAGATACTGGAATGGTTTGCCATTTCCTTTTCCAGTTCATTCATTACAGATAAGGACACTGAGGCAAACAGGATTAGCTGACTTGTGCAAGGTCACACAGCTGTAGTCAGAGGCTGGATTTGAACTCAGGTCTTCCTGACTCTAGGGCTGGCACTCTATTCATTGCACCGCCTAGCTGCCTTTCTACTTCATAATAAAATATAAAACAGAATGTCAGTTACTGAATCTGCTGATTTCCCATCCCTGTTTCACAGTGTTTATTTCTTCTTTAGATATTTATGTATGTATTTACTTCTTTCTTTTGTGGGGAGGTAGAGGGAAGTTTCTAGACCTGTCATTTGATTGATGTAAGGAACTATTGACTAGATTTCATTTTAA